AAATCGTCATCTGTGGGATTCGAACTCTAGACCTGCCGCTTGGGGGTGCAGCAACCCCACCACTTCACTAGGTCGCCGCACCCTTCTAATATAGTTTTTAATTATCATGTGATATATAAATTCCAGTAACGAAACCTTGATATTTAATAATATTTTTTAAAATTTTAATTTAATTCTCTTAAAAAACTATTTAATACCGATCTTGGCCTTGTTGGTTTAGCTACTTTATGGTACAAGTTTTCACTTTATATAAAAAATTTTTTTGCGACATGGCAATTTTTTGCGGCACAGCATTTTTTGCGGCACAGCATTTTTACCCACCAGTATTTTATACCCGAACCTTACTTCAATAATTGTAATATTTTCTATATTCATGTTCAATCTAATAATTGTAGTTAGTAAATAGTTAAATGTTAAATTAATGAAATGCCGGAACTAGCGAAAAATAAAAATTTTCAACTAACTTGTTTTTAATTCTTCTGGCTTTGGACAAGTAATATCACGAAAAGGTAAATCAACATGGGGCGCAATTTCTTTATACAATTCTTCTTGTCTCTTAAAAGGAAGTGGCTTGGTATTGATTGTAGGAGGTAGGACATTTGTATCAAAAAAAAAATGAACGCATTGTAAAAGTTTTATAATTATCTTCAAGACTGTCTTTGTAAGAAACAACTCCCGGGTATTGTGAATTAAAGTAAAAGTAATGATATTTTTGAATGTTGGGCAGCTTTTTAAATGTTTGAAAGTAAGTTTTAAAATCAAAATAATGAAAACCTTCTTCATTTAAATAACACTGAGCAACATTAAGATTAACTGTTGTAGAACGATTAACAATTGATACTACATTATCGACGGTATTCACTTTACTTTTCTGATAAAGGATTTTAATTAGACCAAAACAGCCGTCACAGATGAATTTGGTATGTCCAGGTATCATGAAATTCAATTCAATTTCGTCATATATGCCACGGTCAATTAACCATGAATAAAAAAATAGTGAATAATTATTCTTGTTTTGACCAACACAGTTGTCGCACGTGACAATTAGTTTTTTTTCTCTACGGTTATATTTTTGAATTGCATACCAAACTAAGCTTAGAGTGCAATTTACCCCTTTTCCTTGCTTACCATCATCAGGCATTTCGGCTTCGTCGATTACATAATTAGTTTGTTGTGCATTAGGAAAGTTATCTGTATTATAAACACCGAATAAGTGTACTTTTTGAGGACTTTTGAAGTATAATGATCCTACTTGCTGCAGTGAATAAGGTATTTTTATATTTTGGGCCCAGTCATATGCAATATGAGCAATTCCTTCAAAGTTTTAAATGATACTTGAGATTCAACTGTGATTTGATTGCATTTGCCATCTTCAACTGCATTTACAATATTCTTATTATAGTAGTTACGTTCGGTTTGCGCACGATTTAAATGTGCCAAATAATTCTCAGTAAGTTCTAATTTTTTTTCATGCTGTGTAGCATATTGAATATACATTTTCATCATCTCACAAGTTTCGCACAAATCAGACTTCAGAGACATAAATTGAAGCAACGGTATCAAAGCTTTCCAAATATTAGCAAAAGTTGATTCAGCAATAACACGAACATCTTTTTCATACTTATCTTTAGAGGCCTGCACATAATCACGGTATACTGAAGCATAGTTGTAACTAGTGGGAAGAAACACAATCGGCATAGAAATTTCTTTAAAATGTCGACCAGGTGAGGGCAAACCATGTATATCTGAATAGTTTTTTAAAAACTTAAATACATCACATGCTACACTATAATTTACTTCAACACACTTCATGTTTTTTGGGGCTCTACCTGTATTCCTATGTGTACGTTCTTCGAGACCGTGTTCCCGTAAATGCTTTATGATAGCTTCTAAATATGTATGACCAACTCCTACAAGAGCAAAATATGTATCACGACAAATTTGAATACTATTATTATAACAATAATGAAAACGCGAGTATTTTTTATTTTCTTTTGTATCTTCATTTTTTTGAAAAGCCATGAGCTGTCCTTTAATAACCATATCTCGCATGTTTTTATCCAAACTTTCAAATTCAGCTCGACGTGCAAGAAACCGTTCATAACCAATTTGATCAAAGCAAGTTTGTTTCGATCAGCATGAACATTTTTTTTTTTTTAAAAAATTTTTTAATTGTTACTTTCAGATCGTCATAAACTTTATCTTCAATATAATTTTCAGGAACTTCTACAAATTCAAATTTATTTAACCTATCTAAATTAATATCATCGTCAATATCGAGAATTTCTTCATTATTGTCATCATCTAATACGGAACTCTCTTCAGAATCTAAATGTTCGACGAAAAATGTATTTTCTAAATCATTTAAAGCAGTCGAAATAATTTCATTTGTATTTTGATCGTTAGAATATATATTGTATTCTATTCTTATTGTTAAAACTAAAAGTAAGGTGTGAAAAAATTTTATCATTATTGCTATGTTTTACATACGCATGTTGCAGTATCAGTATCAGCTTTCGCTATTTGTATAATGACAATTATGCACTTATTAACCTATGCATTTAACAGGTTCGTACAAGAATTTACTACCGTAAATAACCTGGCTATTCTGCTACTAGAAATAAATATGGTATGTGCAATATCAGATATCAATATGGCGTAACAGTAAATCAATAAGAACGTACGTACGTACATATATACGTATACGTACATATGTACGTATACGTACATAGCATGTACGTACGTACGTACGTACGTAGATCAATTTTCTTAGATTTTTTTTAACACAAATAAAGATATAAATTTGTATATTTTTTACTAATAAAAAAAATTGCTTTTATGAAAGTTTAGATTCTAAAGAAATTAATTATTATAAAATCTCAAATTTGATTGGTTGGGCCCATCGCCGGCTTTTGCTGTGGGACCCCCATATATTAAATCTTTTAACTAATAGAATTTGTTTATTTTTGCTTAAATATGATTGGCTAATACTTAATTTCTATTTTTATCTAGATATAACACTAAGACTCTTACCTCAAAAATTTGCCTTTTTTCATACATAACCTTTAACTAATATAAGAAAAAAGCAAAAATAAATAGCAAATTTGATTTTTGTAATTATTTCTTTAGATTTAAAATAAAATAAACCTTGTTAAGTGTCTAAATACTCAGAATTTTGTTCTTTATCTACTTATTAAATTAGATTTTTTGTTTCTATGTAAAAAAACTTTGCAACTCTAACTCTAACTCTAGAAAATAAACAAATAATAATAATTTGTTATGCGTCTAATACCAATCAAATTTTATTTAACTATCTTAAATAAACCATATATGTCAAATTTTTTAACCAATAGAATTTGTTTATTTTTAC